TTGAGTGATCCAACTACAGTGCCTCGTGAAGTGTGCACATAATGGCATATTATTTTGGCCTAAAATTAATAGTGATATTTGTACAAGTGACTTGACAAATATGACATGATAGGGGAAATTTTGGAAGGTGACATACAAATCCAATTTTAATTAGTAGGGATTTTGGCCTAAAATTAATATTGACATTTGTACAAGTCACCTGACAAATATGACATGATAGGGGAAAATTTGGAACGTGACACATAAATCCAGTTTTAGTTAGTAGGGCATAAAGTTGTTTATGAAAAAGTGTAGTTTTTTATTTTTTTCCTTCCTTAATTGAGTGCAAAACATGGGAATAAGTTTAACTGCATCTACCATATTCAAATGCATAATGTACAAGTGGACAAAAGTGCATAAAAAAGTAGAAAAGTTTTCATACAGACAACTTACGAAAAAAAAAACACACAATCACTGGCATAATTACTTTCTACGGTAATTGAACATCCACTCGATCCACTTAAATTTCATATCCGCATCTTTCGTGATGGTGAGCATGTCATGGTACCGCTTCTGGGCAAGAAATGTTCATGCGAAAAGTAGAGAGGTGTACGTCGCTCGAGTCGGCTATCATTAACAACTCTTCGATGCAGTCTGTGCTAGCTCTTTCATTGGAAGCCATCATCGTATTAATCTTCGTAGCCGCTTCCTCTATTACACTAGTGACGCAGTCAATTGAGAGGAACAATTCACGAGTAGACATCTTTTTCTTTCTGCCCTTATGCTGTCTACTGGAATACTTCCTTTTATCACCGCTTGTGGTGGTCAAAACGTTCTTGCGGACACCGACCCCCGCTCGTTCGGCCTTATCACTTGAACCACTGCTCTCTCCGTCGATTGGGATTGCATCCCTATTGTCTTCAAGCGCACTATCCTTGAACATGTTGAATCTCGTTCTGCACAACTTCATTGGAGTGATGGCATAATTTTCTCCGTCGTAGCTATCGTTGAATAGCTGACGGTATTTTATGTATATCTTGCTGACGTCCTTGGCCTTGAAGTCTTTGTAGTCCTTGTTCTCCTACACTGCATGGGTTCGACAATGAGAGTACCGGTGTGAAACACAATTGAAAATGTATCAAAAAAGGAAACAACCATGAGAGAGGTAAAATATTGAGAAGTTGCACCTGTTTAGTATTACAACAGTATGAAGTAAACGACACGAGCAATTCACTTCATACACATGACTATATCCACAGTAATATGCACACAGTCCGTATGACCTAAGTTGAGTATATTCGAAGTGTCAAATATTCCCGCTGGCGTATCAAAAACAAGTCCCATAGTATTAATTATAACGGGCTGGTTCGTAATTGTTGTAGGCATTGATAATTTTTTGCACAAGGTAACACCGAAATGTAAACCCATTAAACAAACACAGGTAAAAAAGATGCAGAGAAATGAAACAGGACACAACCATCGACTAGAACAAGCAAAACTCGCATTAATCGTTGTTGTTGTTGTTTTTTTTTTTTTCCATTTTACCAGGGATTCTTAGTTTCACTGTGTGAACGTCTATGGGATTCGTAAGAGCATTTCATTTTGTAAACTGATCATTAACCTACTGTAACACAAACACAGTTCTTATTCCTCTGTTCACATTGTGCGGGCATTTTTTTATTATTCGACGTGGTACTACTTCTTGGATTAGAGTCAGTTTCTCTGAATGAACGTCGCATCACTATCAGAATTTATCAAATAGTAGAATGTCAACTTTGAGCAAACAGGATGTGCGAGAATTTTCAGAGCAAAAACACCAAAGGCCATACAATAATCTTGAGACCAAAAAGAGTAAAGGTGATACAATAATTTCTGTAAATGAGTTGTTCAATGTCGGCACTTTAAAGGCACACTCCAGTTGGGTAGTATGCTAAATGTGACCATGTGAACAAACACCAATGCACCGGAAAGGCAGTAAGCGGTCACTTAATCGCACATGTATGAAAATGGGTTATTGAGAAATTGTGACTCTATTACCTTGATCTTTTGGTTCTACCATTCTTCCGATGCAACGATTCGACCGGTAGCGTCGTTATACTTGATCCCGTTACCATTCACAAGCTCCTATAGAAGCTTGTATCTTCGACACATTGCATCCTAATGATTGCGCAGTTGTTGCCTGTTCCAATTATGGGCGGTGACTAAGCTGAAGAGTGTGGCGACTCGTTCCCAACCGTCTTTGATAAAATATTGGCCATTTCGGTGGCCCTCGATAATGGCGATCTTGCATGCTGCAATGAAGGCCCGGGTTGCCTCTAGGTTCAACCGAGCGTAGGACTTCGAGACCGATGGTTGTGCCGTCTCCGTCGCAGAGTAGGAAGGTCCTTGGGCGAAGTCTCTTGGCTGCGAAGTGGAAGAGTTTGTCAGTAACGAGGAAAACCGGGGATTAGTGGAGGAGAAAAGGAGAAGGTAATATTTGTACCTGTTTCCTGGTGTGATCCATTGTTGGTCATCGGTGCTGCGTCGATTGAGCATCATCGTGCAGGGGGGTGATTGAGGGGAACCGAAAACAATTGCTGCAGGACGTTGTTAACGTGTGGAAAGGTGGAAGTTTCTAAGGCAGTGGACGGTTTGTAGCTTGATTTGGGCAGTGTATTGGGTTTCAATCGTCGGTTTCGAAGATGAAGGGAAGAGAAGTCTAGTGTCGATGGGAGGGGCATTACGAGGGATAGAGAAATTTTAACCACTGTACAATCTCATATGGTTTGTCAGACAAGTGGGTTGCAACGTTTAAAAAATTAATTATGGGTAGAAGAAAATGGCTACCAAACAAACTCTAGAATTCTTACTATAAATATCCTATTACAAATAACTAACTTTTATCTTATTTATAATAGGATTGTCCAACATTCTTTTTATTCTTTCGCTTTTTTAATTGATTTAGGACTTTCTCTTGCTTTTCTAATTGGTTTAAAATTTTCTTTTCTCAATGTCTTGCATTAAAAGATCCACGACTGTAACAGTGGCACATTATTAATTTTGGAGAAGACTTGGAAGAATCCCTATTGGACAATTCAAAGTCAATTTGGACATAAATATTATGAATTGATTTAATACGTTTCAATTAAAATAGGAATTGTATTGACTGCCATATGGAATATAATTTTTTATTTCCTACTCAAATATGATGAACTATCACCTTTGTGTTTTTGCTATCCTTCATGAGGTAGTCATAGATTACATTTGGGACATTTGGGTGAGACTTGTAGATCTTTAGTAGTCTTGTTTGTTAAATATGAGAGATTTTTATCGGCATGTAGATTTTTTAGAGTCCTTGAAATTTTTGGTTTGAGTGACTCCTTTATTTTTCTCCGATTTTGGTGTTTTTCACATTTATTCTTGTGTTTTTGTTCATATAGTTATTTGTAATGTTGACTTTTATGTTCTTTTTATAGTTTGTGGACAGCTGTTCTTCAATGAAATCAAGAAATTGGTTCAAATTCCCGACATATTACATTGTTGAATCTTGTCGAGCACTTGTAATATGTTGTGATGTAGAGCACATAACCAAGTGGATTGAAGAACATTTGGACCGAAAGGGAGAAACTAGTAAAATTTAGATTTGACGATTGAACTTAGATTTGGGCCCATAATACCTTTTCGAAAAGGAGACGATGAGACAGGCTCGATAATTGCTTCTAAGTTTTAGTATTATTTTCGTCATTTAATTTATTTCGAATTCTTTACTATTTTAATTTCTTTAGACTAAGTTTTCGTTTAGACCCTTATAAATAAATGGTTAATTCTTTATGTTTGAGCATCTTGGAATTAGTAAAACTTTTTAATTTTATCTTTCATTCTGTGGGGATTTTAAAATTGTGTTCTTAAGATTTTCACTTAAATTTCTTATTTCGCACCCTTATTTTTACACATTAGTGAATGCACAAATTTCAGTTTTCTATCTCTTCTGTTCTCTCAAAGTTTTCTTGTGATTCTTCTATGCAAAATCTTTAGATTTTGATGTTTACTAAGTGGAGACTAAGAGAAGAGTTTCTGTTTACCATGGTGAACACTGATTTGTAAATTTTGTGAGGCCACAGAGAAGTTGATAAAATGTGAGATTTTTTTGGAACATTTGTATCGAACAATTCTTGATTCGATTTTTAGTATTAGAGCATATTCTATCTTGTAGATGTTCAACGAGTGAGTAACATTTAAAAAATGTGAATATTCGGATCCATTAGTGGGTGAAAAATTATTATGTTGATTTTTTAATTTTCTGCAAGTTTAATTTATGTATTTTGAGGTTTAAACGTTTATATGGAACTAACAAAAAGAAATTATAAACGTAAACAAATATCGGAATGAAGGAAACTTATCAATTTTTGAGGGAATTGGGCTGTAAAATTAGCACCAAGGAATGTCATATACAGTGAGTCACACGAACATGAAGTAGGGAGAGAGACCATAGTAAGGAAAGAGATAAAGACTACACATTTTGCATTTTTTATGGACAGTAAGGTTTAGAGAGTATACGGAATTCGTAATTTCAATATTTGATTAGTGTTTGATTTTTTCTCTCATGTGAATGCATAGGTGAGCTTGTTGAACTATGTAAATTTGTGTTTTTTCTTTCCTACACTTATTTATTTTATTTTTTTCCGTTGAGTTTGTTTGTGCATATATTTTTTTCCAACCATAATTAACTTGTCTCACATATCTTCCTATCTTCTATTTAACTTTTATTTTATTCTTCAACACGTACGAATCTTCGGTTATAAGTAATGGACTTCAGTTGGGGGGAAAATATTTTGATTATTAAATTATATATGGGTCCTTATTGAATATATATTAGCCATTCCAACGAAGGCAACGGCCGACGGAAGAAGACAAAGGCCAGCGTCAAACCCAAAATGGGTGGAAAATTAATCTTTTATAGTCGTTTACATGAAATGACATGAATGTCAAAAAAGAACAAATAAAAGGAGAAATTTCAGAACACTTTTACAATGGCATATAATTATATATTCTATTTGAATGCATAATTCCATGAGCAAAAGCTACATAAACCTTTGCTCCTGTAAGAGGTTCCATGGAGAAGTATCATCTACAAAGAGATTTCATGGAGGTATGTCTAGAAATTTCAGCTTTTTCATGTGGTTAATTTGAAATTTTAATTTCTTTATAATTAAAGAAACGTTATATTACCTTAAATATTTAATATCAGAATATTCTAAAATAATATTGCACCCAAATTTGCCAATGAAAATGATTCGATCTTGGCATGCAAATATGAAATCTTTTTCTAATCTTTTAACTCCAATCATCGTTCCAAAATGGTTCCTCCGAAGGCAAGAACTATTGTTGTTTGCTTGAAAAGTTCTTTTTTGACCCAATAAAACGACCAAAGATACAAGAGAGAGCACCAATGATTTTCAATGTAAAGCTATCAGTGGGCATATTCCTAGGATCATCAACAGCAATCAGATTTCAAATTTAAGTGTCTTCTCATTCACAAATACCAAACTGTTAGCGTCATTCACAGCGGACGCCAACAAAAATTTTCATATTTTTGTTAGTACACTTCATTGGATAAATAAAATCCACCTCTTTCGTTTCACTTTTATTTTCATAAATAAAACAACTACTGAATCCAATATTATCCCAATTTTTGACATTATTAATCAACTCCACTTTTACCTTGAAATTTTGGGGCCACTTTTAGAAAATTTCTATATCGAGCTCATAAAAAATAGGGTCATCGCCCAAATTCAAAAACTCAACGATTTAATGATCTTCATTTAGAATTGGAGCACCATGATATTTCTCATCCTGTTTAAGGGAACATGTTTTATTAATAATTAATAAACATTGTACATACTTTGAATGGGAGCTTGGACTCCAACTAAAGGTACAAAAAAGAATACTTACCTTGTCGATCTAGAGTTAGGGATGGCAAATGAGTCCATCGGCTCGACGGCTCACGACTCAACCCAGAAAAAAGCTCGGGCCGACTTAGCTCAGGGCTTGAGCCAAGCTCAAATTTCGTGTTTGACTTCTTTATAAGAATATTTCATGAATTAAAAAAAAAAAATTAAAAATTTTGTGAGCCAGCTAGGCTAGTAAAACCCAAGCCAAAAGTCCATGTCGAGCCTTCGAAATTCAGTCAAACTTTGGTTAGGCTCGACTTGGGCTAAAAAAGCTGACCGAGCGGACCGAGCACAAGCAGTGAGAAAAAAAAAAGGCTTAAATCCATTGTCCAAGTATTATCACTTTATCTTCGAACTTGCAATCGTATTTTATATTGAAAAAATGAAAGAGAAAAAAAAAAAAAAAGTTTAACATGAAAATAAACTCTGGTATACAGCTACAAATGTTTTCTTCTGCATGTAATAATTTCTAGTCTAAAATAATACTCCTGAAATAATAGTCCATCTTATTATTGTGAAACAAAAGTAAACTAACAATTTTATAATCCCTAAGACTCTCGTCATGACAGAAAATCCCACAAACACTGTTAGTAAAGCCAAGGCATCCTTATTAGTTTAACCTTTTCTTTCGTTATCTAACTAAACTTAACCTTTTCTTTCGCTATCGAACTAAATTTAACCTTATTAGTCTCCTCCCCACATTTTAACTTGTGCTTATCTTACAATTTTGTGCACAAAGGGTGGCAGCGATTCAAGATTTCGAACAACAAAAACGAAAGAAACAATCATTTTGAAGTATGGATTCTTCTTGTGGCAAAAACGCGTTAAAAGTAGAAGAGGAGAGTCCGTCTTTCGATATTGATGCAACGGAAGAAGGAATACAAGAATTTCTTTGGAATCTTGCTGAGGCTAATAAAGAAAAGCGCTATACTGGTGTCAGAAAACGGCCTTGGGGTAAGTATGCTGCAGAGATAAGGGATTCGACCAGGAACGGAATAAGGGTTTGGCTTGGGACTTTTAACAGTGCAGAAGAAGCTGGTCTGGTTTATGATCAAGCTGCATTTGCAATGCGCGGGGCTTCAGCACACCTTAATTTTCCTTCAGAGAAAGTAAAGAAATCCCTTAAAAACATGAATTACAAGTACGAAGATGGTTCGTCACCAGCTGAAGCCATAAAAGAGATTCACAGGGCTCGGAGTTCTTCGAATGGCAAAGGAAAAAAGAAACAAATTAGTAAAGATGTTTTGGTGCTTGAGGACTTGGGATCTGATCTATTAGATGAACTATTATCTCAGAGTTGATTTTTAGGTAAACACAAACATCATCTTCTGCATCCATGGATCGATTTCTCATCTCCTTTCTGGTTTCTTACTTGAACCCTGGATCTCAACCCCTTTCCCCTTTTATCTTCCCTTTTGCTTAAATCATTCATCAATTTTAAATCAATTCCAATTAAAGCTTACTCTCTCGTAATGACTTGGAACTCCAAGTTAATTAGTGCTTTGAATTTGAAATATGAAGACTTGTGTTTCAAATTTCAATTTCAACAGATTTCTGTTTCTGGATTTCTTATTTTGAAAAGTTCCATGTTCCTGAGAACTGAGAAGACCAGATAAACTTCAATTTATCAAAATTGAATAAAAAAATTTAAGTAGTTTTTGTTGGCTAACAATTTTACGAAATGAAAAAATGTGAAATAATCTCACATTCTCATCATCGGCATAATAATTTTGTCATACTTTTTATATACTTTGGAGAGTTGTTACTGTAGACCTTTCTGTGAATGAATTTATCACCATTCCAGTCCTAAAATGCAAAAATGTATTTTCATTCATTCTTTACGAGAGGAATTGAAGATTATTATGATCTTGAATATGATTATTCTTCAAATTTTGTAGCTGATAGAATTCTTTATTTAGTGCCCATAAAGAACTAGCTAATTAATTGGATTTTTTCTCTGATTCCCGGCTGGTTTATGCATATTCGTCTCTTTTGATTTTTTCTGATGCTCGCATGATTTGTGATGATTGTGATAAATGATTTGAATAGTTCATTATAGGAAATTTATAAGAGGAACTTAATTCAATAATGGCTGAAATGAGTTGTACTGCATATATTTAACATCATTTTATTCATCATGCGAAGTGTTTCTAGAGACAACCAGTTAATAATTTTTTCCATATTGAAAATTGTTACATCCTCATGTTTGGGGCAAATACTCATAAATTGTTTAATTTCGAACTTCAATAAATTATACTTATGGCATGAAATATAATCAATAGATATAATTATCTATGGTTTTATTACATTAATTGTTTGCTCATACAATAGCAGCTGGTAAGTTAATTTGAAGACTTCTTCGGTACTGATAAAAATCAATTCAACAAAGCATTTGTGTACGTAATAATTTTCAACTTTCAAGCGTACAATCTAGGCCAGCAATCTTATTTTTTCATTAGCTATTTTCATTTACAACTATGCTGTTCTCTCGTCTCCTGGGGTCTAATTCTATCATGTTCTTTTGAAGATTTGGCATGCCATCTCCCTCGAAGGTCTCATAACTTTGGTGCTTCCTTATATGAGGTCAATTAGTTGGTCTACAGAAAAGCTTCCTGTTGTTTTTCTATATTACATATTAGGGGTACTCCTTTGTTGGTGTTGTGGTTATCCTAAGGACTCCTCCACTGATCCCCATTAAGAAAAATAAGGGAAAGAGAAAAAGGAAGATGAAGAAGTTCTGATATATATCTACAAAAATGAGTTTTCAAGCTCAAGCTCCCTACTTTGAAGGTTATTTCGTTCTTATTTGTTAATTATTTATTACGCTATAAGTATATTGTGTTATGAAGTGCATACTTTTAGTATTTCTGATTGTGATATAAGATGTAAAATAAATCATCATACTTTTTGTTTAAACTATAAGGAATGATATCGGATATGGTGTTATTACATGATTTCACGAAGTGAGTTCCAGGGGGAAGTAACGTACGTAAGCATTTTTGCAATTAATTCAACAAAATGACTTTTTATAAATAGCATCTAATTTTTTCATCGAAACATTGGAAACTATCTTTAAAGTGATTTTTGCCTTCTCTAAAATCTGCTGCTTCTCTTTGCAGTTTAATTTCTTGTGCATATGTGTTTCTTTGCAATTTAGCCTTCTAAACTTACCCAAGCATTATTTGTTGAATTCATCTATTTTGAAATGGATTAATCTGTGATGTGATGTGCTGGTAGCACCTGTATAGTTTTTTATTTTATTTTATTTTTTTGCCAACTCCCAATGAAATATTGCCAAGTGGATCATTGCAACCAATTAGGCAATATACCCTGTACACCTAGTACGGTTGTTTTGAAATTACTTCTAGCTTAATCAAATTTTCAATGTGCAATAATCATGTACATATATCATATATTTTACCAAGTACAATTAGTAATTATGGTCCAAATTTGAGTATGTTAAATATTTAATTGAAATATCTCTAATCTCATTAATCTAGTAGTGATTAAATACCTACTAAATAAAAAAGTATCTGGTTTAATATTCAAAGTGAAGCCAATTATTTTTTTTCACATAAAAAATAGAATAACACTGAAATAATGATTAAATGTATGATTATTTATTTTACATTTTGTACCACAATCACAAATACTAATATATGAGAACACAATAAACTTATAGTACGCAGTTATAGTGTAATAAATAATTAACAAATAAGAACGAAATAACCAATATAGAATCGAACTTTAGCCTCAAAACTCAATTTTGTAGGCCTATGTACCTTGACTACATATATTATTACTTCGTCTTCTTTTTTCTTCTCCTTCTTTGCATTAAGTATTCAAAGTTAAGCCAATTATTATTTTCACATGAAAAACAAGATAACATTGAAATAATGACTTTCTATACATTGAGAAGTGGGTATTCATTACAATTCATCCAAATTAGCGTAGTCTCATCCTATTTGTACGCATTATCTTGCAAAACCGTTACCTATTGCAAAAATTTAACCTATATAATGTTAGAACATTTAGTTGATGTAAGTATTAATTCTCTGAAGAAAGACAATTATATTCTTGAATTTTATATTAAAGGCATAACGTTTAGGATAACCCAAATCATTATAAATAAGTTACTGTTTTCATAATTTAGCTATTTAAATGTTTAACTTTAACATGCACATGCAAAATGGTGGCTCATTTTGGAATATTAATTTTGAAAATCAGCTACCCTTTTAAATTTAGATGGATTGAATTGCTTATTTAAACTTTTTCTACTCTAATACCATGTTAAATTTCGAGGTTCCATCCTTTAAAAGTAACACTCTGCTAAAGGACATAACTAAATCTTTATATGTTGATTATTGCTTTCACATTTAAGATTATTATCGATAACAATAATTTAACTACGATTTTACTTGCTATAAACAAAAAGGATGTACCTCTATTTAAAACTGAAAGATTCGATTCTACATTTATAATCTTCTTGTAAATTTTGTAATGAATTGGACGCTATATGCCCATAGGTTATATGTCTTAAATGATCCTTGGAAAATTCTTACTTTATTTATGTAATTTATTTGAATGATTTTTCTTTTTCAACAAACTCATTAAATTACATGGAATTAGCTCAACTTCCTTTCCCAAGTTTAAAGGTGGCGTGAATTTTTCAAAGAGATGTTTTTAATTGTAATTATAAAGTCAAGTCTTAAGAAACTTTGTTATATCCATCCTATTTCACTCTTGTGGAAAAAGGGTGAGCTATGAAAACGTATCTGTCAACATATCTGAAATCCATCGGTTTACTTATGAAGATTTTGAATTTTCTTGATTATAGGGTTGCAATCTAGGAAATTATTTTCCATGTCTCCAATATGAGATCAACACATTTTATGTTGAACTGTATCCTTATTATATGTTTCTAATAGCGGGAATTTCCTTAGGCAGGGTTTTCCGTATGTCCCCAATGATTTTCCATGTTAATCAATGATCCTGATTTTACAAAGGTTTTAATTTAGGATATTATTGACAAGGGAATTATATGTTGGCCATTCTCTGATTGCCTGAATTTTCTGCTTAAACACATGTACCCCTTCAAAACTCACAACATACCCCAGAAATAAAACTTTATTCGTCATAAAACTGCACTTTTTCAGATTGATAAATAACACATTATCGTGCAATGCTTCGAACACTTTCCTCAAGTTTTCTTCCTCCTATCAACTTCACTTCTACTATAAACCATGATAGCATCAAAATAGACGACAACAAATATACCTAGGAAAGGTTTCAAAACTTGGTCCATTAACTACGTGAAAGTACTGAATGCATTGGAAAGGCTGAAAGACATAACCAGCCATTCAACAAGCCCTCATTTTTTTTGAAAGCTATTTTTCACTCATCCCTGGGCTGATCTGAACCTAGTTATATCCGCTTTTCAAATCAATCTTTGGAAACACAACCGATCTAGCCAACTGATCCAACATACCATCTAGCTTGGGTACAGAAAATAGTTATTGTACAGTAATTTTATTAATAGCTCGATTATCAACGCATATTCTCCATGATCCATCCATTTTTTTTTTCCCTTTTTTTGGTATTAGTAAAGCTGGTACTATACACTAACTAATTCTCTTCGTAACGTGACCCTTTCACAAAAACTTTTAAAAATACTCTTCCTAACGTGACCCTTTCACAAAAACTTTTAAACATTCTCTTGTAAAATCTGACTCTCTTTTGGATTCATCTGATAATGAGGTAGGTTTGGTAAGCGAGCCCCAAGGACAAAGTCAATTTGTTTCTGAATAGCTAGCATGGGAGGTAATTTTTCAGGTTTTGCAGTCACCCCCTAAAACTCCTCTAATAATTTTTTTAACAAATCCAAGAACTTTCTCGACGACTTCTTTCGCCTTGGCTACCAAAGAATTTTTTTTCCCAAACTCCTTTACATTTAATGAAAATTCACTAGCCGAATTTGTAATAGCTAGGAAAGCTTTCCTTTCTACTTTAGAAGTTTTCTGTGCACTTCCTGTTGGTGCAACCATGACTCTTTTATCGTTCCACTGAAATATATAGGTGTTCTCTCTACCACTATGTACGATATCCACATCAAACTACTACAGTCTGTCCAATAGAATATAACATACATCCATCTCAACAGATTCACAAATAACTTTTGATTTGTAAAAAGTCTCTATGAATAAAGACACCATACAAATTCTAGTCACCTGGATAGATGAGCCCTTCTTAGTCCAACCAATTCAATAAGGAATTCGATGTGGTTCGGTAGGCAATTTCAAATGACCTACGAACTTCTTAGTGATCAGATTTTCACAACTACAATTATCTATGATTAGATTGTAAACAACATCATCAATTCCGCACTTGGCTTGAAAGATCTATATGCGCTGAGTCAACTTTTTCTACTTGGCCAAATATAAGATTTTCTGCTCCGTACACATAAAATTTCCTTGTTTTTCACCATAAATTTCATCAGTGTATTCCTCTCTTGCCTCTTTCTCGTCTCCTACATACCCCAAATCATCCTCTTTATTAACTATATCCACTACATGTACTGACTTTCATTCAAGAGACTAATTCATTTATGTTCAAGTTTTTTTGCATCTATAACACTTCTCAATAGTTGATTTTGCATATGGATTGTTTGCTGCCTGAATAGTTGATATGACTCTAGTTACTGCATGTTTGGGTTTTAATGTATTGCTGACCGTAGGTGGTTTATGTCACAATACACACAAGAGGTAATTTTCATTCATACTATCAATAGGTGGGTTACAGAGTTTATATAGGAAAAAAAAACTCCTAATTTTGGATAATCACAACTCTGTAGCTAATTAATTGATTCTACACATAATTGCCTAATTTTATTCCCTTAAAATGATACAATTATATATGATTTATGTTTCCAGAAAAAGATTTCTAACAGCTCACGTCAACACTCCCCCTCAAGTTGATACATACAGGTCTCTGATGCCCAACTTGTCAAGTGAGTTGTGAAAGTCCTTGCTTGAAACTGCCTTTGTGAGTATGTCTGCTAGTTGATCCTCAGATTTTACAAAAGGGAAACGAATTGTCTTTGCTACCAAGTTTTCCTTGATGAAGTGTCGATCTATTTCCACATGCTTTGTTCTATCATGTTGAACCGGGTCATGAGATATGGCAATGGCAGCTTTGTTGTCACAGTATAGATCCATCTCAGTAATAGGAGCAAAGCCAAGTTCAGTGAGCAGTTTTCTGATCCAGAGGAGTTCACAAAGTCCTTTTGCCATTCCACGAAACTCCACTTCAGCACTCGATAATGATACCACTTTTTGCTTCTTACTTCTCCATGTAACGAGATTACCGCCTACAAACATGAAGTAGCCTGAGGTAGACCTCCTATCTGAAATGTTCCCCGCCCAATCTGCATCTGTATAGCCGTCAACTTTCAAGTGATCATTCTTTGAAAACATCAGTCCCCTCCCTGTGAGGACTTTAGATATCGAAGTATTTGAGTCACAGCATCCATGTGGTCTTTGTTAGGGCTATGCATAAACTGGCTAACTACACTTACGGCATAGGCAATATCTGGACGAGTATGAGACAAGTATATAAGTTTGCCAACTAATTTTTGATATCTCTCTTTATCCGTTGGCACTTGATCTGAACACTCACTCAGCTTAAGGTTTTGAGCGATAGGAGTATCTGCTGGTTTACATTCCAACATCCCCACCTCAGCCAGCAAGTCTAGCACATATTTTCTTTGGGATAAGAATATGCCTTGTCTTGATCTAACCACTTCAATTCCCAGGAAATACTTGAGGCCTCCCAAGTTCTTTATCTAAAACTCAGACGCCAGCTGTTTCTGAATTCTGGATATCTCTTCTTTATCATCCCCTGTGATAATCATGTCATCCACATACACTATCAATGCAGTTACTTTACCTCCA